GATAAATACTTAATTTAATTCCTCAGAATTAAATGCAGCCAAACAACCAGACTAGTAAACACGGTCTGGTGAGATAAGATTCATAACAAAAATTGAAAATGATATATCTAACTTCTCATAGTCAGATAAATACCTCATTTAATTCCTCAGAATTAAATGCAGCCAAACAACCAAATGAGTAAACACGGTCTGGTGTGGTAAGATTCACATCAAAAACTGAAATTATGTAATACACGCGTTGCCTCGGCAGTGCGCGAGCCACTTGGTCACACAAACAATCTCCTCGAGAAATTTCCTCCAATCTCCTCGGAGAAAATAGCCACAGCAGCGAACTCTATCTCAGAGGGGGAAGAACCCCGAGAGCGGGCGCTGGATCTGGTGGTTAAGGAAGAAGATAGGGACTCACCCGTCTACATTCCCTCCACCGGATCCATATGCGAACCCCACGAGCACAGCCGCTGCTCCCTCGAGAGCTGACTCTGCGTGTTTTGCTCCCAAGCAGACAACACACAAACCGTGTGTATCCCCACCCGAAATGTAGCGCAGGCAGGGAAGAACACACAGCCTGAGATGCTGCCCGCTCTCGCCGTATGTTTATCTACACTCGTATTGGTAAAATAAAGAGTGATAATGGACAGACAACACCAAATAAGACTGACACACACAGAGCGCTTGCTGAATGACAGAAAGCTGACGCCGATTTCACCGCACGTGCTTTTATGCTTCCTGGTCGCTACGTCACCCCGCCCGTGAAGTCTTGCCCATCCATTGGACTGATTACACATGTGATTCAGAGCGTGGTCACGCTGGAGGCGTTCCCGTAGCGTTTCGACGCAGCTCAAGTTCCTGAAGGGGAACGTTGCACAAGCGATTTTCTCTTTGTGGTGCAGTAATGCTCACTATCACCAGCAGGTGACTATGACATCATTCTCACCAAAGTACATCACGATTTAGACGCAAGCAGTCACAGTATATTCCCACATGTCAGCGTGAATATGAGCTCATCTCACGTGACTGGTAATGTATGTGCAGCTGGTCATTTATAATGCATGACGGATCCCGTCATGCCTGTGAGGTAAGAAAACAACAAAACCATTAGGTTTAGACTCCTCAGTATTGTACAGATAATATATTTCTGTTGACAGATTTGCATCAGACCGGGTTTTCTAATTAGAAAAAGTAACTTGACAGTCTTTCATTTAAATGAAGAGCCAAGATCAAAATGTTCAAAATCTCTTAAAGGGACATTTCAACCAAAAATAAAAATTCTGTCTTTGTTAACTAACCCTCATGTCAGTCCAAACTTGTATGATGTTATTTTTTCCTTCAAAAGGAAGATTTGGAAGTATCTTTATGTTTTATTACAACAGGTTAAAGTGACTGTATCTGTCAAACTCCAAAAAAGGATTAAAAGAGCTCAAGTTTTATGGGACTTCATGGTGCTTTTTTGTCCTTTTTGAAGACTTTGTCACTTTGAACGATTGTTTGTCTGAAAAAGGGCTGCATGATGCATTCTTCTGTGCT